ATAAGGGCAAAGTTGACTCAGGCTTGGCCCAGGAGGCCATTCCCAGTGGGCCCTGCTCTTCCTGTTTGGTCATTTCCTGTCTGCCCACTCCATCCTGAGCTCCAGACACTGCTGCTGGCTCTCTCGTCTCGTCACCAGTATGGTGTGTCCCTTTTCTTCTGGCGAACGAGTCACGCTGGAAGCTGGCATATGGACAGAAGTCTGTACCAGGCTCCAAACACCAAAGGAGCCCACCTGGGCCGTACCAAACTATCTCTTGAAAGGATCGGTCTTCGCTGCGGAAGATTGGAGTTTCTTGGTGCTCACGGGAAGGAAAGAGCTTAGCTCTGGGAATTGGGCAGAGGAGAGTTTGAACCCCAGGCCACGCTGGTCCCAACTACGATACAGAACAAGTTACTTCACCTCCGTGAGCTTTAGTTCCCACGCCGGACTATCGAGAAGATTGGACACAGTGCACAGTAATAATAGGGGCCGATTATCAAGCAGGCCTTATTTATCCTGGTTCCTCAAGAGCCCCGCTCACGGGCAGGGTCAAAGCTAAGGGGTCACATTACATGGAGGGTGGCCATTCCAGATGTTGGCGCCTCCCCCACCTGGAGGTTTCCTCTGAGGCTGTATTTCAGCCATCACTAAAATGAAATATTGTGATCTTCTACTAATATACCTCAAATCATGCCTCCTCCCTGGATATAAATGTTTCAGTGGCTCCCCATTGCCCCCAGAAGAGAGTCCAACATCTCAGCCCAAGGCCCTCCATCATTTGCCCCTGCTGCCATCCTTCCCTACGACCCTCTCAAGGTCTTTCAAGCCAGCCACCAGGAATTTTTTGACGTCTCCAATGCCCCGGGCTCTCTTTGGCTTCAGGGCTGCCCGGATAGCTCTTGCCTGGGGTCTGGAACACACCCCTTCCCCTTCTGCATCGCCGAACTCCTTCAAGGTCCCCACTGAACATTCTGGCACCCAGCAGCTGCTCCGAAGCTCTGGAGCTCAGTAGGGACTAGTTGGAGGGGAGACAGAAATTCTAGTATCCCTCTCATTTACAGAAATGGTCCATTTTTTGTTTGTTTATTTATTTCTGAGACAGAGAGAGACAGAGCATGAGTGGGGGAGGGGCAGAGAGAGAGGGAGACACAGAGTCCGAAGCAGGCTCCGGGCTCTGAGCTGTCAGCACAGAGCCCGACGTGGGGCTCAAACTCACAGACCGCAAGATCATGACCTGAGCCAAAGCTGGACGCTCAACCGACTGAGCCACCCAGGCGCCCCTGGTCCGTGCTTTTTTGAATGCAACTTTCTGAAAAGTTAAGCATGCACCTTTGATATATCTCACAGATATGAACTTTATGAGACGTACACAAAAATGGAAAGTAAAGACGGAAGTTAAAATTTGTGTACATAGGGGCGCCTGGGTGGCTCAGTTGGTTGAGCATCTGACCTCGGCTCAGGTCACGATCTCATAGTTTGTGGGTTCGAGCCCCACGTCGGGCTCTGTGCTGACAGCTCGGAGCCTGGAACCTACTTCGGATACTGTGTCTCCCTCTCTCTGCCCCTCCCCCCTCTCAAAAATAAATAAACATTTTAAAAAAAAATGTGTACTGGGGCGCCTGGGTGGCTCAGTCGGTTGAGCGTCTGACTTCACTCAGGTCATGATCTCATAGTTCATGGGTTCGAGCCCCCACATCAGGCTCTGTGCTGACAGCTCGGAGCCTGGAATCTGTTTCAGATTCTGTCTCCCTCTCTCTGCCCCTCCCCTGCTCACACTCTCTCTCTCTCTCAAAAATACACATTAAAATTTTTTACAAAAATTTGTGTACTTAGGAGCTCTAACTTTTTTCCATTAAAATTTGAAAACCATTGATTTAAAGTGGATAGAGAAGCCAGCCAGGCAGTCACAGCCAGAGAGAAAACCAGGAGGGGTGTCCTAGAAACAACAGGATGTATTTTAAGGACAGTGTGGCCAACTGTGTCAAATGCTGCAGAGGCTAAAGACAAGATTAAGTCAACCATTGAGGGCACCAGCCTGGCTCAGTCGGTACAGTGTGGGATGCTTGATCTCAGGGTTGTGAGTTCAAGGCCCACATTGAGCATGGAACCTACTTAAAAAAAAAAAAAAAAAAAAAAAAAAAAGGGAGGTGCCTGGATGGCTCAGTTGATTGGGGTCCGATTCTTGATTTCAGCTCAGGTCTTGATCTTGGGGTCCTGCAATCAAGCCCCCCCCCCGTTGGGTTTCACGCCCAGCGTGGAGCCTAATTTTAAAAAAGAAAAGAAAGAAAAAAAAAAAAGAAAGCAAATCATCCATTGGATCAGGCAACCAAGACCTCTAAGCGATCCATGGATCCTTCTGAGGGCATTTGTGGGGAAGAGAGGGGATGGGAGACCGGCCAGAAGAGGGGTGCTGAGTAAACCTGAGTCCAGATCTTTCCCAAGCCCCCACACTTCCCCGAGCTCCCCAACAACCTACTTGGATGTGTCCCAGGCATTTCAGAAGCAACCTGCCCCAAACTGCCTGCCTCCCCCTCATTTTCCCCCTCCTTCCGTTCTTCTCATCTGAGTAACAGCACCTCCAACCACTAGGTGTATAAACAGGAAGCCTCCTGCTCATTTCACCCTTACATCCAATCCATTAGCAGTTCGTATCGGTACGACCCTCAAAATACATCCTGGATCGGACCCTTTCCACCACCTCTTCCACCCTAAGCCAAGCCACCACCATCATCTCATCCCTGGCCTTCCTGACTGGCCTGTGGCCACCCTGGCTTCCTCCAGATCTTTTAAGCATACAAATCACGGGCGCCTGGGTTAAGTGGGTTGAGCATCCAACTCTTGGTTTTGGCTCAGATCATGATCTCATGGTTTCATGAGTTCGAGCCCCAAGTCAGGATTCTCTCTCTCTCTCTCTGCCCCTCCTCCTGTCTCTCTCTAAATAGATAAATCCATAAAAATTACGTGTATAAAAGAGCCTAGCCTTCTCTTACTTGAAACCTTTCAACAACCCACCGTTGCTCTACAGATTTCAAGCGCTTTACTACTCCCTGCAAGGCCTGCACGGAGTACCTGGGGGCCCTCATCACTACCCATCAGCCACATGGTTTTTGCTCTTTCTCCAACCACCCTCCCCCCTGCCTGATTTTCTCCTGCCTCAATGATTTTGGACTGCTCCTTTCTAGCCCGTTTCGCCAGCTTGTCTTTCCACCTAGGACATGCTTCCCCTCCAACTCTGTACCTGGTTAGCTCCAGCTTCAATGGGACCTCCTCTGTGAGGCCTTCCCATCGGAGGGGGGACACACCCTCCACGAACCCACTGTCCCGCTGCCTCCCTGCTCTTTTCCTGCGCGTTCAGAGCACAACTCACAACCATCCATTTGTATGCTGAGCTGTTAAAGCCCGTTTTTACTACTTTGAAACTCGGCCCACACAGATCGTGGAGCCCCACTCTGCCCCCCCTTCCCCACCTCTGTCTCTGTTCATGGTCTCCTCCACAACAGTCTTCTTTTTTTTATTTTTTTTTCAACTTTTATTTATTTTTGGGACAGAAAGAGACAGAGCATGAACGGGGGAGGGGCAGAGAGAGAGGGAGACACAGAATCGGAAACAGGCTCCAGGCTCCGAGCCATCAGCCCAGAGCCCGACGCGGGGCTCGAACCCCCGGACCGCGAGATCGTGACCTGGCTGAAGTCGGACGCTTAACCGACTGCGCCACCCAGGCACCCCTACAGTCTTCTTTTTAAGTTTATTTATTTAAAAAAATTTTTGTTAATGTTTATTTTTGAGAGAGAGAGTGCACGAGCGCGAGCAGGGGAGGGGCAGAGGGAGAGGAAGTGACAGAATCAGAAGCAGGCTATTGGCTCTGAGCTGTTAGCACAGAGCCTGACGTGGGGCTTGAACTCACAGACTGCGAGTTCATGACCTGAGCGGAAATAGGGCGCTTCACCGACTGAGCCACCCAGGCGCCCCTAAGTTTATTTATTTGGGGGGGGGAGGGGCAGAGAGAGAGAGGAAGACACAGAATGGGAAGCTGGCTCCTGGCTCTGAGCTGTCAGCACAGAGCCTGATGTGGGGCTCGAACTCACGGACCGCGAGATCCTGAGCTGAGACAGGACACTTAACCAACCGAGCCACCCTCGGTTCCCCTAAGTTTGCTTGTTTTTGTTTTTGTTTTTTTAATTTTTTAAAAAATGTTTATTTATTTTTGAGACAGAGAGAGACAGCGCATGAATGGGGGTGGGTCAGAGAGAGGGAGACACAGAATCTGAAGCAGGCTCCAGGCTCCGAGCTGTCAGCACAGAGCCCGACGCGGGGCTCGAGCCCACAGACTGTGAGATCATGACCTGAGCTGAAGTCGGACGCCTAACCGACTGAGCCACCCAGGCGCGCCCCCCCCCCAAGTTTGTTTTTGAGCGAGAGGAAGAGAGAGTGCAGAGAGTGCAAGAGGGAGACAGAATCCCAACCCTGCTCAGTGCTGTCAGTGCAGAGACCGACACAGGGCTCGGACCCATGAACCGTGAGATCATGACCTGATCTGAGATCAAGAGTGGGGCGCTTAATGGACTGAGCCACCCAGGCGGCCCCACAACAGAGCTCTTTTAAGGATCATCTCAAGCACTGAAGCCTTTTATGCGCCCCCCATACATGATGATTTGTCCCTGCGTTGAACCCCAAAGAATTTTGTAACTAATGGCACCACTCCTGAGCTGCCTTGCCTTAACTCTGACTTGCAGAGTGAATGTTCAATAAATGTGTGGCCTGGCAGGCCTGAAAACTTTACCCTACAGGAACCTTCAGTTCTAGTGGGCAGCAGAACCGCACGGTGACTTGGGCCCAAAGAGTGCTTCCGAAAGATTCTGCAGTATTTCCAACATTCTTTAGGACTCTGACGCCCACCGGTTTCAGGACCTCCTAACAAGCTAACCTCGAATGAACAGAATCCCCAGACCCAAGATTCCGTCTCAGGAAAGGGAAGGAGTCCAGAGGTGGACAATGCTTACCCTTCTTTCTCCAAGAGGTTAGACGAACAAAGACTCGCGTTCTTTATTTGCCTTTCCCTTTTAATCTCCTCCCTGCTCCAACTCTTAAAGAAGTACCCAGCAATCAATTACAAAGAAGTTCAAAGGGCCAAGGCAAGCCAGCCCAAGATTAACAGGCTCCCTCCCACGGGGGCCAAAGTCTGGATGCTGGGGTCTCCACTCAGAGCCTGGTAGTAAAAGCTGGTGCAGAATAAGGTGGTTCCAGAGGCTAGCAGTAACCCGGCCTGAAGGAGATACAAGAATACAGGCCAGTAAGAACAGGGCGGACGGAGGGAGCTGGTGGGGCATGGTCAGGGTTGGGCATGGGGGTAGGATTACCCAGACGGGCTTTCTGCAATGGGGCACCCCTAACAGAGCCAGGCTGTGGAAGAAGTGGTGTTTGTTGGCCTTGTCGAAGAGCTGTAAGAAAAAGAGAAATGGAAGGCGGGGTGGGGGAAGACACTTCCTAAGCAACGCTGGTGCCTGCATCCCGTGGGGGCACATCGGAAAAAGTTCGTCCCCCCGCTAAAGTCCCGGCTCGCCTGTCCCACCAGCACCCACGGCACATGCTCGCCGCCCTCGGTGCTCCGCCCCTCCCCTACTTCCCTCAGCGACCCCAGACTTGGGGCGCTCCTAGACCCGGCAGCTGGGCAGCCCCAAGTCCCTTCACCTCCTTCCCGTAGGCATCCGGGAACTGGGCGCCTGTGGAAGGAGAGGCAAAGGTTACCAGTCCGAGCACCTGCCTCCACCGCCCCGACTCCCGGGTGGAGGGAGGACCCAGCTGGATGCCCCCAGAAGGCGTCTCATTGGTGGAAACGCACATGGGCGCTTCTGGGGACCAAACTGGACCAGGCAGAGGGCTGTCCGGTGGAGGGGAAAGCCGGCACTTCCCATAGACCCCGCCCCTGCACTAGACCCCGAAGGTCGACCCCAGCCCCCTGACCGTGCGCCCCGTAGGAGGCCAAGCCTAAGGCCCCGGCTCCGGACAAGGCGCCCAAGCGGCGGAAAGCAGCCCCCGGCCCGGCCATGGCAGTGGATGGTCACGCGCCGCAGGAACACCGCCCAGGCCACCCAAGAGGCCAGCCAATCCCAATCTCCCATGCAAATAATGTCCAAAAGTGCCCAATCCGGGACGTGTTCATTCCGGCGTCCAGGTCCTCACCCGGGTACTTGCGCCTTTGTAAAAGCTCTGCTGAGTGGCGAAGCCGCGTGGCGGGCGGAGAAACAAGAACCAATCAGGGTCGGAGGAGCGGAGCAGTGAGGGGCGGGGCGCGGAGGCGGGACTAGAGGATTTGCGTCACGGATTGGCCCACTTTCAAAGTTGATCGCTCCTTCCGATACCTACCCCCTCCCACCTCCGGCCAATTTCCAAAGATCCCGGTCCCCACGCGGAGTTCCGCCCCTTTCCCCACTGGCTCCTCCTTTTCAGCTTTAAACCAGGCCTACTCTCACAAGGAGGCGGCCGCTCGGGTAACCAAGCCCCACCCACCGCCGTCAAAACCCCGCCCACGGTCGAGATGGCCCCTCCCACGGGCCCAAGACCCCGCCTTCTTCGTGTGATGCCCCGCCCCCTTGAGTTCACCCTCCCCCTCCCCCCCCCCCACCCGCCCCCAACCCACCAACCGCGGGAGCCCGGAGGGTGGGAGACCCGGTGGGGGCGATGTCTCCACCCAGCCCCGGCCCGCTCCGTCCATCCGTCGGTCTGTCCGCTCCCGCCCCCTTCTCCCGTCTCCAATCCCCCCACACTCTGGAGGGCGGGCGGGCAGGCGGGTACGAGCGAGGGGTGTGCGCCGCTCTCTCCGCAGGGGGCGGGGGAGGCGGCCGCGCGGTGACGCGCGGGGCTGCTGCGGCTGCTCCGCCGGCGGATCATCACTCTCGGGCTGGGATGGACGCGGGGCGGGCGGGCCCTGGCGCGCGGAGCCAGGAGTCCGGGCCTCCTGGCTGCTGAGCGTCTCCCGAAGCCTCCCCTTTACCTCCGCTGCCCCTCCTAGGAGCCCTGCCGACCCCCACCCCGGGGCTCCAGACCCGGCTCCCGCCCTCCTCTGACTCCCTGGACCTCCCCCTCCCGCCCGCCCTCGGGATCGACTAGATCCCTCCCCCTCCCCGAGGATTCCGGCTGGATCCCTGCCCCTGCACCGCGGATCCTGCGCTCCCGGGCTCCGGGCCCCTGGGGATTGCCGTGGACACCTCCTCCCGCACCCGATCCCTTAGGATCTTCCGCCTGTACCACCTTCTGGTCCCTCGAAGCCGGCCCACGGAGCCAGTGGATCCCCAATCCAGTCCTGTCTCGTTGCCCCCTCTTCGCTCCGCCGGCCCCACTGCGGGGTTCCCTGTTCTCGGGTTCCTCCTGACCCCATCCCCTACCTCTCCTTTCCCCGGGGATCGACTGGATCCCGGCCCCGCCCCCCGGGGCTGGGGCGATCCCCCTCCCCCGCCCGGTGAGGCGCTGCGGGCGGGGGCTGGGCCTGCGGGGCCGCGGGGGCTCAGAGGCCGCCGCCCCCCTCCCGAAGCCCATCCGCCCCCTACTCGGAGCCCTGGATGGAGGCACCACGGCCCCAGGGCTGAGCCAGGTAGGAGCTAAGCCGGGCCGGGTGGAGGGGGGTGCGTGGCGGTCCACTGGGGTCTCCTTTTCCCCATCTCTCTCCCTGCGCCTGGTTTCCCCCCAGCCTGCTCTGTCTGCGTGTCTCCGCCTAGGGATGCTCTCGCCGTGTCTCTGCGTCTCGGTCTCTTTGTCTCTGCCTCTCTCCAGCCCATGAATGATCCTTTGAATGGGCCCACAGACCCCGTGTGTTCCCATCTCCCCCTCCCCCTCCTTCTCCCCTTCCCGGCCAAGCCATTTTCCCCACTGCAGGAAGAGGGGGGGGCCTGCGGCCTGAGCCCCCCTCCCTCAATTCTCCCCGGCTGGGGGAGTCAGGCCTGGGCAGGAATGGAGAGAGCAAGGCAGAGGGATCGGGAGAAGGAGGGGGAGAAAGATGTGGCAGACAGAGATGGGGCGAGAAAATGGGGGAGACAGAGGGAAAGAGGGGAGAGAGAGAGAGAGAGAAGTAGAAGGGGCTTAAGGGAGAAATTTGGGGAAGAGGTTTGAAGGAGAGAGAAAGATGAGCCACGGCGAGGAGGGAGACGTGGAAAGATTCGTAGAAGAGAGAAGGGGAAAGGGCTGAAGGCAGAAACGGGAGCAAGCTGGAAGAGGCCGGGAAAGATGCTCCGAGGGAGCATCATGGAGAGGAGAGAGGTGAGGGGAGGGAAGGGAGGCCAGGGGCCCAAAGTACCTTAAAGGGGGGGGGGGCCGCAGAAACCCCCCCGGTTAGTCGGCGGGGGCGGGGGCGGCAGGGCCATGGAAGCAGAACCCAGCCTGGCTTGGACAGAGGAGATCCTGAGGGAGCCAGCCCCAAGCCCCCTCCTGGTGATGGGGGAACAGGAGCTTAAGAGGACCTGAAGAGGGGGAGGGCACGATTGGGTGTGTGTGGTAAGGATTCCTGTGTCCTCAGCTCTGGAATAAATTGACACCTGCAGAGAGCCACCCGCGGGCTGGCGCCTGGCTCCGAAAACCCCGCGTCAGCAAACAGCTCTGGCGGCTGTTGGGGGGGGGGGGGGGGACAGGGGGCGCTTGCTGGAATGACCTGGGTGTCTGCCCCTTTGGTCTGATCTTGTCTCTTGTCCTGTCCCTGCTGTCCTGAGCATCCAGGCATCAGAGCAGCAACTGTGGGGGGGGGCTGGCAAGGGGAAGGGGACATCAGTAGCTGAGATGGGGTGAGCAGAAAGCCGAGGTTTGACCACCCCCCCCCCCCAGGACGGAGGTCAAAATGCCACGCATGGAAGAGGCGTCTGGGGTCCAAGGCTGTTGGAGACTGTGGGAGGGGGGCAGTGGGTGGACGCATGTGATGCCCTCCAAACCCACCTCGGCACCCCTTCTCCCCAGCCAGAGGCCTGGTCACTAGGGCTAGGCTCTGATTGGCCCACAAGGGGCAAGAGGCGGATCTTTTAGGGTTCTCCAGGCCCCAATCTCCCGCTCCCCTCAACATATACACTTCTTTCTCTATGCTAAGGTTGGGGAAAACTCACGCCTCTGCCCTCATGCCCTGAATGTACCCCGCGACCAAGCCAGCCCCTTCCCCTCTTCCGCCAGACCCCCCTCTAGGGTTAAAGCTGCAGCCGGTTGCCGAGGTAACATTGCGGGGCAGCATCCCGTCGCCCGGCAACCGGCCGCAGGATCACGCATCTGTCCCCGGATTTGCCCCTCCAGCATCCCCTGCCTACTCGAGGCCCTGCCTCAAGGCACCTTAACTCCTGATGGAAGGAATGAGGAACACCTGGGGCAAAGGGGATCCCCCCCCCCCCGACCCTGCTGCACAGATTCTTAGGGGATGGGCTGTGGAAGGAAGGAAAAGGTGCTGGGCTCCTGTGGTCCCAAGAAGGGCCCGAGTCTGGCCGGGGTGGGGGTTCAGTGCCTGGAAATTACAGCTGAGGAGTAATTAACACGTATAAACAAACCCGCCACTTCCTGCTAATTAATGACTTGGTATTTTTATTTTCTCTTCCTTGTCTCTCTCATCCCTCCCAGGGAGGTGGGAACTGGGACTCCTGAGTCCCCCAGCAACGCCTGCCTAGGAGGGACAAAGCAGCTGGAAGGGTGGGGGGGCAGGCTGGTTCTGGGGAGCTGGCCTGCTTCTCCTCTGGCTCTGTCCTGGACCTGTGCTGCATCTTGACCCTACCCTAGCCTTAGACTTTTCTATCTGGGTCCCTGCTTTGGGGGTGGGGTGCTGGGGTGGGAGGGGGAGGCGCTAGGGGGCCGGACGGTGGAAGAAGGGGGGCAACTTGGTGTGGATTCCAAGTCACTAACCACTTGTCTCTTGTTTTCCCCATTCCCTTCTGTCTGCCCTGTCCAATTTCCCTTCCCTTCTTCCACTTCTCCGTATTGGTCTGTCTGTCTGTCTGTCTGTCTGTCTGTCTGTCTCTTGCATACCCCGTCCCTCCTCCCCCCCGCAGGTCGGGCCTGCCTTCACCTTCTCCCATTTCTCTCCCCTTCCCCACCCCTCGCCCCCTCCATGGAGAGGAACAGACCCCTTCTCTGTCCAGTCTAACCCAGGTCCCCCCCCGCCCCCCTCCTCCCTCCTTTCCCCCACCCCCTTCCCCCCTCCTGGGGCAAGGGGGGCCTCCCTCCCTCTCCCCCCCCTTCTCTCTCTCTCCGAGGGGGGGGGTCCCGGGGAGGGAGGGGGGGTCCCCCGATCAGCATGTGGCTCCTGGCGCTGTGTCTGGTGGGGCTGGCAGGGGCTCAACGGGGGGGAGGGGGTCCTGGCGGCTCCCCGGGTGGCCCGGGTCTGGGCCTCAGCAGCCTCGGGGAGGAGCGCTTCCCAGTGGTGAACACGGCCTATGGGCGAGTGCGCGGCGTGCGCCGTGAGCTCAACAACGAGATCCTGGGCCCCGTCGTGCAGTTTTTGGGCGTACCCTACGCCACGCCACCCCTGGGCGCCCGCCGCTTCCAGCCGCCCGAGGCCCCCGCCTCGTGGCCCGGCGTGCGCAACGCCACCACCCTGCCGCCCGCCTGCCCGCAGAACCTGCACGGGGCGCTGCCCGCAATCATGCTGCCTGTGTGGTTCACCGACAACTTGGAGGCGGCCGCCACCTACGTGCAGAACCAGAGCGAGGACTGCCTGTATCTGAACCTCTACGTGCCCACCGAGGACGGTAAGGGCGCGGGCACCAGGCGGGGCACCCCCGTGGACGCAGGCCACAAACGCGCATGCGGACCCTCGGGCGCCGGCCCCTGCCGGCCTCTGGGGGGGGGGCCGTGAGAGGCGCTGTGTGCCTGCAGGCGCCAAGTGCCCTCCGAGGGTGGCCCCGGGCGCCTGGCGGGCAGTCCCAGGAACGCATCCCTCAGACAGCCACCCCGGACGTTCTCTGGGGGGGGCTTAGCGACCCCATCCCCGCAAAGGCGCGCACAGAGTGGCCCCTGAGGGTGACCAGGCATCGGAAGCACCTGTTACCCGCCTAGACGCCCACTCCAGCTCTGTGCCACCTCCCACGCCCAGGCCTGGGCTCCTCCCGAGGAATACCCACTTTAGTGACTTCTGCCCCTCAAGACAGACAGAGACTCCCTTTCCTCCAGGAGTGCTTGGACAGACTGCCACCTCCCACATCGCATCCAGAGGGCCTCACCCGAGCTCAGCGTCTCCTCTTCAGACAGCTCTGTCCCCTGACCCCTGTGCACCCCTGAAGGATCAGGGACCCCCCCCCTCCCCCGCCTCGCCAGGGGCCCCTCCATTCAGAGCCGAGCACACCCATCCCCATCAGAACATCTTTCCCTCAGGGCTCTGGAGCGGGCTGCCCTCGTGAGGTGCGCCCCGGCAGGGCACACGGCCCCCAGCACACTGCCCGGAAAGTTCTCCCCGGGCCAGCCTTCAGCACACGGGGTATCTCTCAGGGTACCTTCCAGCTGTCCTTATATGATATCCTTGTATCACTGCTTCCGTCTATGTCCACGAACACCCCCATATCATTACTCCAGAACACCCCCACACCGCCACCTATGGATCACGTGACCTAGCGAGAGCGCTTACCCCAGTAACCCGGCACGTGGCCATTCACACCACAGTCCCCAGCACCCTCAACACTTCCCAGGCGTCGGTTACCCCAACCCTTCCTAGTCCCAGGAAGGGACTCGCATCACGACTCAGGCTGTGACAGTGCGCCCAACGGCCCTTTCCCCTACCCACAGATCCAGTGCTCGGACACCTCACGCCCAACACATTCCGTTCCAGCCACCCTGTGTTCCTTGTACCAGCCATGCACCCCAACACCGTAACCACCCTTCCCATAGAAACCATGCCTCCTAGCAACCCATGCCCACGACGCTCAGAAGTCTCATCTACTGCA